GTTGAGAAAAAAAGTGCATAACTTTTGCCTCCTTCTTTCTCTCCGTCTAGTCAGTCTGACATCAAAAGAAATTTCAATTTTTCCTATAGGAATAATTAAAATATTAACTTTAACATTTTTGTTTAGGTAAATTTAAAATTTCTCTAAGGAAAAGTTAAAATTTTAATTTGGTCTACGATAAAGTAAAATTTCATCTTTTCCTAGATTTTTTCAAGCAAAAGTTACAATTTTAATTTCGCGAGTAGAGTAGAGTCATGGCTACATTTTAGTAAAAAGAGAAATTTTTTATCTCTCTTAGGTCAGGAGCTATTGATATTTTACGAAAAAGAGATGAATCGCTTATATCTCACGAACCATCTAGTAAAAGAGACCCAAACTTGGTGGGTGATCAGCATTCGGTATACCACATATGACCACACAAAATTAGAAGTGCCTAGCTATCATGGTTCTCGAGCTACAGAGGGCCTGCTACTTTTGCGGAGTACTGTACGTTGACATTGTAGAACGTCAACTAATGCAAACATCACCACCTCGTACAATCATTGAAGTATATAGAGTGTGGTAATTTGCCTGTGATTAACATAAACTATTCATAAGCGTTGACGTTTATTGATATCAACCTCGGAAACGTTCACGTTTTTGTACGCGTTTAGGAAATAGGAATGATATTATATAACGATGCAGTATATATATAGGGAACATCGTTATGTTATGACTACGTAATATTTGAACGAGTCGTAGGGGTCGTACGTATATCACGCAATGCGTGATCAAAAATGGACTCCTGTCTAGAATCTGTGGTGCATGAATTCTAGAACCGAAAATGGCCTAGATTGTGAAAAATGTGGTAACGAGACTCTCATAGCTTACGGGAACCTTCCCGTAGGGCTTAATGCCATTTATTAACCTATTTTGATTATTATAATTCAAGAATGTTGTGCTAAGGTGTATTCACCAATTGGGAAGGATTACTCTCTTCCTAAACCACAATACTACACCACAAAAGATTGTTGTATTCTTTTAGGGTACACTTGTGATGTTCATACATATATACAGATGTATAGATACTCAGATATACAGATGTACAGATGCACAGATATTCAGATATTCAGATATTCAGATGTACAGATGTACTCATCTGAATATCTAAATATCTAACTATCTGTATATCTAAATACCTGTATATCGAGATATTTCAATATCTGAATATCTAAATATCTAACTATCTCTATATCTAAATACCTGTATATCGAGATATTTCAATATCTCAATATCTAAATATTTGTACAGTTAAACATCTAAATAACTGAATATCTAAGTATCTATACATCAAAGTATCCCAATATCTGAATATCTATATATCTAAAAATCCTTCCCACAAAGTCATGTGCTTTTTCCAAAAAGCATAATCGTGAAAATCAGACCCTACTGAAAAAGTTCGTCTTTAAATCTTTTTAACATATACTTTCAAAGTAAAATCATCAGATTTGACGAAATAAAGGAGCTTTTGTACAGAGAACAACTTTCAGTATTGTCTTGAGTAGCGTTTACTGGAATATTTCAGCAGCACGTGGGGACTCGAAATAACATGGATGGTATGCTTATTTTAACTTAGTAATTCTGTTATCGTATTTATCTTAAATGAACATGCTTATCAACGTACTGTACCGAAATATTATCAGTTATTTCTCACAAATTGAATCAGTGATAGAAAGCAATAACATCTTTATAACTATTTTTATCAAAAGCTTTTAAAAGGATTATTGTGGGTCGGTAGTTGAACATATAAAAGTCAAACACATTCTAATTGCCATGCATTTCGAAAAATTTTGTTTATTGACTATATAATAAAAGAATTAGTAATGAACTACAGAAGAAAAATTGGAACATTATGTGAAAATTTTAAAAAACGAAAGAAATATTAGTGAGATTTTTTTAATATATGAACTACCAATATAAAAGTCGACCTTTCACAATTATTTTTTAAAAAATGCACAATACTACTTCTGGTGAATTACCCATTTTGTTTACACGTTTTTAAAACGCTACTTTTTCAACAAGAAAATCATAAACTCGTATTCATCGGTCATTATTTGTAGGGAAAAAAAAGCAGAGTGAAAGTTTTTTGTCAAACGACAACAAATAAATTAAATAAATAGTGGAAAAATGATAATTAAAAAAGATATCTATGAATTTGAATTTTGAGTTGTTTAATTAATTAATCACATTAAATACATCGATACGATTTGGTCGAATTTCACCAACAAATACTTGACGACTATTGATATTTACAACAACATCATGTGGTTCACCAAAGTTCTAAAGAAAAGAGAGAACAATTAGAATAAAAGTGAAACATAAAGAAGATCTATATGTTCTACTTCTACTGGTTTCCATGTTGTTAATAATAAACCGAATGATTCAGGATCAACACTGAACGTATATCCTAGTGCTTTGTTGCCCGAACTACCACCACTAACAACATACAAACGTTCTAAACAACAAATAGAAGACAATTATAATAACAATATTTTGAAGATATTCAATGTATATATTTACATATTATCTAAGTTGATCATTTACTAATGTTATCCTTACGAGGGAACTTTCCAGATACTCATCTCCGTTGTCAATGATATTATGTCTGTTGATAGAGGATATTGTTCTAAGAAAAAACCTACAAAGATTTGGATTCTTGTTGCTTCTTTCAAAGGTTATGAACTTTTTTCGTTTACTTATTGATTGAGTCATGATAACACTAAAATTTCTGTATCACTGTAAAAACAGCAAGCCAAAGGCTGAAATGTTGTTTAATCTTGTACTAATATCAGAGAAATAGTTGGACTTTAAAAAGAGTTGATCACACATGTTCCTATTTTAGTTTTCTTTCAATGACAATGTTCTAAATCAAGGAAGAAAACAGGTGTCTAAATAACTCGATTTTATATCTTATTTTCTCTATTGAGAGACATAATATCAGTGAAAATGGAGGTGAACATCTAGAAAGATTCCTTCGTTGGGGCTATGAGGGTTTAGATTGGCTAAACACATCCTTGTCGCACTTTTAGAAACATCAAAATGATGTTTAGTTCAGCTTCCTAATTTTAACATCCTAAGCATCAAAACGAAAAAAGATGCTATTTTAGTAGAAACTTGAACTTATTACTTTTAAGTAATACTCATGTTTGTCTAGAAACATAACTAAACTTGCACAAAATATCCGGTAAATCTCAGAACGAGTACTGTCTTACGCAAATAAGTATATACATCTCTATGGTTTCCTATGACATATACATACCATTGTTTTGATCATAAGTGATAGCATAAACAGTTTTCATTGTCTGATGTTGAATTATTGATTGCACTTGACCTTCATTTGATTGTGAATCTAAACCAGCATCGAAGCAAACAACCCTAGAGTATAAAATGAGAAAAGAAATTAATATGCTGAAACAACTGACAACAAATAACTAAGTAACATCCAAAAAGTGGAAAACAGACCTGTTTTTTCAATTGCAAAGTGTACTGAGACTACAGACCTCATTAAGATGACGTGCTAAAATCTTTATATTAATTCGCAGATAACCAAGTAAAATTCCTTTCGCTTTTTATCGCGCTTTTAGCCCTCATAAATTCTTCTTTAAAGGGATTTAGGTTATCTGGGTTACAGCAATCAATAGCTGTTGCAGAATATTGTTAAATGGTAACAATGATTATTGACGATTGTTTCACTGGATTTCAACAGTTATTAATTGATTTATGTATTGTCTTTGTTTCAAAAATTATAAAATTTATTAATATGTTGGTCTAGTCACCTTCGATGAGATACAGATGAAGTAACATAATAACCTAGAGTGTAGGAGTTGTTTCCAATAAATGAAAATAATGAGCTGATTTAAAATGTAGATAGTGTGATTCACTTGAGTTGTAAATGTCACCATAGTTGCTGCTGATGTTTATAAACAAATATGTCGAAAATAATTAATGAGGTTCGATTCCATTTGAATAAAAATCATATATGAGAGTTTAATGCACTGAAAGGACGTAATAGTTCGACAGAGGAGAGCCGCACAACCCATTCATCGTCTTGCTATAGCATTCAGTTCTGAATGAAGCACAACATTATTGGTTCGACGAATATCTTTGTCGAAAATTGTGTTGAATTTCGATTCACAGTAACCGACTAATGAAATCGAAGACATTCCTAAGACAGGTGGATCCTTATCAATACTGAGTATCTATCAATGTTATTAAAGAGTGAAATAAAATTTTTGATTCAGAAATGGTTAATGTATGTTGGATAAATAACATTATGAAGGCTTCTGCATCAAAAATCGATTTAAAAGTAGGATTGGTTAACAGATACCACAAGTATCTTAACATAATGTTACAGTGCATTCTGTAGAACGGTAAAATCGTATTTAGTATTATCTGATAATTTAATCTTCAGATTTCAATGAAATTCATGATTGCTCAGTTAATTAAAGCATCTAGTGTTGATAAAATCTTTCGTTAATAATGACAATTTCGGCTCAATTATTGGAGAGCTTTATGACGATGTTCGATTTCAATTTCAACGAATGTATAGCTTTTTCGTGTAACAGGTATACTTTCATCATTTTTGAGTAAGTATGAGTGATGGTATTAACTATATTGAAGAAATTTTTAAAGTTGTGATAGTTTGTTATTAATGATGGTATCAATGCAGTTTGACGAGTATTTTAACTGAGAATAGGGCTCAGTCTACCGCAGGATCTTGCATAGGATCTTCGATCTACTGAAGAAACGAAAAATGAGAGCCGAAAGTGCTATGGAAAAAGAAAAGAATTGTACTTAATTTTCTAGTTTTGATTATTTTGGTCAATTATAATTCACAAGATTAGGCAAAAGATGTATTGCTTCACGATGAACATATTGAAATTATGCAGAATACGTACCTTCCATTTTCTCTATCAGCCACACAAAGAATATCTAATGATTCGATTAACGCTAAACTGTGTGGAACTAGTAGTTGTCCTAAAAACCAAATACGTACTATACAGTGAACGACACTTTGTTTAGTTTGAGAGATACAATGCAACGTACGTTGATTAGCGGGCATTTTATATTCTGTTAAATATTTTCCATTTGAATCAAATTTAACAATTCGCTCATTACAATAGCCATCAGCAACGTAGACAAATTGTCCATCATTAGTAATAGCAACATCCGTCGGTTTACAAAAATGTGATTTATCCGATCCCGGTACAAATGATTCGCCCAGTGTTAGCACTAATTGGGGTATATTACTTGTGTCATATTTGAATACCTATGAGAGTAGACGATCTTACAGTATGAATATACAATAAAGTTGCATTTAAAACTTACTTGATGCATGGCAACATCGGTTAACCATAAATTGCCACTTTTGTCTACTGATAGACCGTGGGGCATTGAAAATCTAAGAAAGAACCAAGATTTTCCAACCTACTGTGTTCAATATTTTGAGATGTTCCCGCACTCTTCACGTTCTTTTGTTTGGCAAATATTAGAAAACTACAAACTACTACTGTTCAAAACTTATTCAAAAAAATTGTTTGTAGTTTTGCAAGATTTCCCAAACAAAAGAATGTGAAGAGTGCGGGAACATCTCAAAATATTGAACACACTTTGCTCTTCGATTTAAGATGTTTTAGAGCTCTGAAAGTATTTTGGTTCAAATTTTATATGTTTAAGTATAAATTCTAAAAACGCATTTTATGAGGTTTCTAAACATATGCGTTTTATTTTCTAGCATGTTCGATGCCTGAGATATGAGTGCTTGAAGTTCCAGTTCTGGAAAAATTGAAAAAAGCTCCTAAAAACTAAAATAGCTCCAGA